TTATTTTGCCTGGGTTACCTGTTGCCATTACTTTTCGCTTTCCGAGAAGTTAATCTTATTTTTTTGCTTGCTTTCCATCATCTTACTGTTGATTACCAGCTTAGTCTATCATTTAACTATTCTCATCTCTTTAAATATTAGACTGTAATGTTTTTTCCACATTTTTGTTTGTGGGTATCTTTTGACTCATTTTACTTAGAGTTGATATTGATTTAGATTGAAAATTTTCTTTATTTAACGATTGCTAATTTAATTTCTATGATGCCACGGTTTATGCTAGTTTTTTGACTTGCTATTTATCAATTGTTTTTTATTCTTTAGAGTTAGAAGAGCTTTCACTTCCATCACTCGATATTTATGATTAATTTTTATCCTAAATATTACGAACCTCAGTTTTAATTGGCTATTACTACTGCTATTTTTGAATATACTAAGGTTATTGCTTTTGATTGTAATTATTCTTTGTTTATTACTTTTCATTAAGTTTCTCATCTCTTTTATCTTTCAAGTTAATCTATTTTAAAGTCTAAGACTCTGGAGAAGACTTTATGCTTGACTAATTAGATCTATTTCTAGTTATCTAGATCTGATCATCACTTGACTCTTCAACTATATCCACTACTTAAGATTATTCTTCGTCACTTTAAATCTTAGTCTGGTGAATTTATTTTGATTATGATTATAGGTTTTAAGATTATAGAAGAATTGGATCTTTGGAGTCATATTTTTACGCAGTGCTTTCTTTAGACTAGGAAGAACTATTCTAATTACTTTCAATGTCACTCTCTTCTTCATCTTCATCTTCACCTTCACTTTCGTCCTCACTTTTTCCTCCTTCATCATCATTAGCATTTTCATCTTCTTCATTATTCGATTATATTTCTTCTCCAGCATCTGGTTTTGGTTAATTTTTATTTATTTACAGCATTTAATCTTGTTCTACTTCATCCTAATTTTCCATTTCAACATCTTCTTCTTCTTCGTTTTCTTCCTCTTCTTCATTTTCTTCCTCTTCTTCTTCCTCCTCGCTATCATGCTAATCATTATTCTATCAAATTTCATTTTGAGGTATTTTATCTTTGATTTTCTCATTGCCTGTTGAATCATTAACTTCTACTCCCTATTCTTCTGCCATCTCTACATCAGATTCTTCTTCATTAGATTCTTCATCTATCTATTCATTTTAAATCTTAGGCAACTCTTTACTTTTACTAATAGGCTCTTTTTCATTCCCCTTAAGTATAAATATTTCTTTCACAGGACTCTAAGAAGAGTCCTCCTTGATAATATTCCTTAGCTCAACTTACTGTTCGAGTGACAAGGGCTTTGTAGTAACTTCTATTGTAGAAGGTCTTTAGTTACTTTTAATCACTTATATTTTGTCGCAATTAATTCTTTTTTAATTAGATTACCTACAGTTAGATTTCAAACTCTAGGTTCCTTTAATCAAAGGTATGCTGAAATCATGAGTGCTGTCATAGAAGCCCTTCATGTCTCTTTTGATTGTGTCATCTCTCATGACTATGTTATCTCAGTTGCCAGATAAACTAGCATCTATTCCTTCAAGCATAGTTACCTTAAACCATTAAATATATCTCTTATACAGATTCAAACTGAGTGGCTATAACTTCTTTTCATTTTCCTCTTTAACTCTGATTTTATCAGTTGATTTTAACTTAAAAGTTGATAGATTTTTAATTTAAAGATTGGCTGAATTGAGCTCCTCAGCAGCTATTGTTAAGTTATTCTTATCCTTCTTGACTTGATGCTTGATCTTAATTTTATCAGCGTACTCCTTCTATCTTGTGAATTAATGATATCTCGGAGGAGTACTAGATCTTTACTCTCGCTAGTCTCTCTGCTTTTTCATTTCTTCCTGCTTTTTTCGTCTCTCAACCAAACTGTTGTAATAGTCCTAGCCTCTCTCCTGAATCATTATAGCTGAGATCTCTATTACATTATCCACAAGGTTTTCTTGTTAATTTATCCACTTAAAAGGGATTACAGTTCCATCGTTTGCTATTATTTTTTCCTCTGGCTTATCTGGCTAGACATAAACACTCACATCTATTATGGAAACTTTCTTCTATTTCTTTATATCAAATATCTTCTTGGGAATATTAACTAGCAATGCAGTCTTAGTTGCTTGTAAATGCTACTTCATTAAGTGATGGAATTTCATATGTATCAGAGTTCTTATCTCCTCATCTTTAAACACAGAATTAGTGAACTTCCTTTTAGCGAATTGCTCATTGAATAGTATCTCTGTATCATGAATAATCAGTCTCACTTCTAGCGAGGCGAAACTAGTAAATATCTCCTTTGAGTTTACTTGTCTTAGCTGCAGTTGAAGTTTGGTGATCTTCAGTTTCATATTTAGCATATCGCACAGTTTGAGTTTAGTCTTGCTTAGTTGCTTAACTTTGAGTTTCTCCCATAATTCAGTTGATAAGCAAGCATTAATGAAGTGATAATTATCTGTTAAGATAAATAGTGGAAATGTTTCTTAAATGGCCAGTTACAAGCAATCAGTTTCAATTATCTCAGATTTAAAAATGCCTTGCTTTTATCTTAAGAAATCATTTAACATTAATTTAATTGGGTATTTCTCATCTTTAAACTGATATTAATTTTACTATGAATACTACTACGAATGAATTTATGCTAACTTCTCTCTTTTTTATGAGTGACTCTAATCCTTTCCTTTAGCAGCTTCCTTTTTGGCTTGCTACGACTATGGCTTCTCTTTTTCCTTATTTTTGATTGAGTTCTATTGATTTTTCTCTGAAATCTTTTACTCTTCTTAAGGCTTCTGTTTCTTATTCTAATTTACTGCCTATTTTTTATCTATTTTAGGCTAAGGTTTTTCAGTCATGGCTTACTATTACTACTTCTAAACTGATTTGCCATTATTAGGAGTTTGATTTATTTTAGTTTCTTCCTTTTCTTCTATCTTTATTTGTGGTGGTATTTGCTTAACTTGTTTAGTCTTTGGTGGCATTAATATAAAAACGATATAGCAACTTTGAGTTTAATTATATACTTGTTAATTTTGGCCAATTTAAAACTCGATTCTTATAATGGGGTTTTGGGGTTTTGGGG